CTATTTATCATCGCAACACTTCCTCTCCTCTGAATGGTCCCAATTTCATAAATGGATTTAAAGTTTCCTTCAGTTATTATGCTTTCATTTTTTGCTTTTCTTCTTATTGAAATCATTAGAAAATCCTACATACTCAGTTAATCTGTTATATACTTCACATGGTTACGAGTTGCATAATTTTATATATTATTGTTAGAAGGTTTAACAAAGGTTTATGGATAATTATTCTCTCACACACACACACACGCACATTGGTAATAATGTGGAAATCTTGCTTGAAAGTTTATATGTTGGATTTATTGTGTTATTTCAAAATGTTTCATCCGCATATCTGTATTTGTGTATTTCTAATAAAATAAAAATTATTATTTTTTTAAAAAACAACTCTCCATTAAAAGCTCTAGCCTTCTGAAAGTTTCAAAGTATGCCCCCCTACCAAAACCTGAGAGCAGCCACAAATAAAACATGGGACCTATTCAGTGGCAGGTGGACTACCTGTAGTGCCAGAAGGTGGCAAGCTGAAGCCCATAGCTGGTACACAGGGACCTGTGGGTAGAAACAGTCCTTTAGTTATGTGGTCACATCCTATAGATGGCTTTTAAAGGGTGAAACCAACACCCTGAATTGAACTTAGAAATAAACTGCCAGCCAGTGAAGCTGTTTTTAAAATAGGCAAGATGTGTGTTCCCAACAGCCAGCCCCTAACAACACTCAGGCTTTGGTATTCTGGAGTAACTGCAATTACTGGCTTGTCTTCAAGGGCATTCCAATGTAGAACATATTACAGTAGCTAATAAAAGGCACTCATGGCCACCCCACCAACCTGCTTTTCAAACAGCAAGGCTGGGCCCACAAATACCTCCATGGACCTCCTCATCCACTCCAAGTGTCAACTCCACTCCATCAGTGGATTAGTAGATCCAAGCCTTTCCAAGCATCAACCTTCCCAGAAAGCATTACTTCTGCCTTGTCTGGATGCAGCTTCAGCTTGTTCTGTCTTAGCCACTTGAACATGGGCTTGAAACACTGGTCCATGACTATATGATGATTTGAACCAGGAGCCAGTTTGGTGTAGTGATTAAGAGTGGTCCACTCTAATCTGGAGAACCGGATTTGATTTCCCACTCCTCCACATGAAGCCTGCTGGGTGACCTTGGGTCAGTCACAGCTCCTCAGAGCCCTCTCAGCCCCACCTACCTCACAGGATGTATGTTGTGGGGAGAGGAAGGTGATTGTAAGCCGCTTCAAGACTCCTTCAGGTAGTTAAGAGTGTTGTATAAAACCAACTCTTTTTTTATTGACACAGAGAGTACTCCATCTTTCTGTGTTATACCTCTGAGGATACCAGTCACAGCTTCTGGCAATGCCAGGACCACGGCCATGCAGCCCAGAAAATCTACAACAACTGATCAACTCTTCTTTTCCTTCTCCTCCTCCTCCTCATCACATGCTTCTATGTTTTCCAATCTACGTTCTCTGGGATCAGGACCTGGGGAAAGGACATGGTTAGGACCTAATGAAAGGCAAGGACTTGAGTTGGAGCATGGAATGCAGCATAATTGTTCTGTTGGCCAGGCAAGAACAAATAACTAATGATGATAATGGTATTGGTATCCGTTGGTGATCCAGTCTGCAACCAACATCCAAGAGATGCAACAGGAACTGGGGAAGTCCGGTTGTTGTGTGGTCAGGTCTGCCTCACTATGTAACCACCAAATATTCTATTTCCCTACTCAAAGTTGTTTTTGCTCTTTATTTCTGATTAAAATATTAAACATGTTTAGAAAGTTTAAGTATCACTAATGACACTAGGAGTCTTGACTTTATTTATTATTTATTTATTACCATTATTGAGAATATTGACAGCTGATTCCTTCATATAGTTGTTCAACAAAATATGTAGGCCAATTCCTTTATCTACTTATCAAAACCATTTTCCTTAATATTAAAATAGAACCTGACAGATATGTATATAAACCTTTTTACAGGAGGTAATTGCTTGTAATAGAGGTATATTTTTCCACCGAGGCCATTATCTTTAATAATTTCTGACATATCTTTTACCATTCAGCAAAACAGTATAAATAGGTTGTCATTTTATAACCCAAAATTGTTAGGAGGAAACCAGTAATTGAAAGTTGAAGGTAAATTACTCAATTAAAAATAGGCACCAATTATCATTATTGATATTCTCTAAAGAGCTAGGTAAGAATATCTTATCTTCTGTAGGCTTTGAATTTCCAAATGGATTGGCTTCAACAGAGTTTAGATTTTAATTGCAATCTTTATCTCATTGCAGCATCAGACAGAATCTGCCAGCCCAACAGTGTTACCACCCTCCGCTTTCTCTTTAGACTTGCTAAACAATGCTGTGGCTGGATTTAGTACTGTGGAAGAACTCATCCGGTACCTTGAACCAGACAGATGGCAGTTAGATTTGGAAGACCTGTACAAACCAGCCTGGCAGCTCCTTGGAAAAGCATACATTCATGGGAGAAAATCTAGAGGTAAGCAGCTGTTATATAATTTTGTTTGTTTGTTGTTTTTGACACTCATATTCTAGCACAAAAATGTTAATCACCTGACAGAATTTACAGGTATATATTTCTTCCATATATGTATTGTATGTACACAGTCGTCATCCTGTAGCTATTATATTTTGCCCCACTCAGAACGTGTAAGCAGTTCTCCCAAGAGTGCAGAAATCTCCCTCTTCTTTGTGGGTGTCCCTACTGCTGCTTCTGTGATTGGTACCAGAACCAGCCAATTTCCAGTGAGAGTGAATGCCTGAAATTATTCATGAGAACATAAGACCATCTTTAGATTACAGCAGTGCACTTCAAAATGGTGCCCACCAAGTATTATTTAGAAAGTGGGTGGGGCCAGGTGGGGCTTTTTGTCCATTGGAGATTTGATTTGCTGTGCAGATGTTTTAAAAGTTGCTTCTGCAGAAGCTGCCACCACAGCATCAGAATCTTCCCTGTGTGTCTGAAGGTAAACTGTGAATATGCAAGAATATCTTTTAAAACAATATGTTCAAAGGGCATCCTGTTGCACAGTTTCTGCCTGAAATGTTGAAGTGTTTCTATTAGAGTTATTCATGATCTCACTTCCTGACATTTTGTGGTTGGCTCCACTTTCTGTGGCGGTCATTTTGTGGTTGCACCCACAACCTTATGTCAGAATTCCAAAGGTGCCCACAAGTTCAATAAGGTTGGGAAAGCCTGGAATACATGGAGCTTTTGTCAAATACATCACTGCTGCCCTTAAAAATCATTACAATTTTTAAAACTATTCATTAGTAAAAAAAATCACTTTTATGAGAGGTAGAGAGCTGAGGGTAGATTAGATATTTGTACTCCTTCCAAAAGAATAATTTTATTCATGACGGTAGTCAATCATAATACAGAATCAGTAGGTTCAGATTTCATGTTAAGACACATTTCCTTACATGCATGCATTACTTTGGGAAAGTTTCCTTTAACTTCTATTTGGACTGGCACTTCCCAGCAAAATCTCATCCTGAGGCTAACATTGCCATGTTTACTCAAAAGGAGGACAACCCTGACTGTAAGATCCCCACACACACACAAAAAAAAGATGAATTAAAAAATAACCCAGCCAGTCTGTCTTTCTGTGTCTCTTGCTTGCTCACTCGCTCCCTTATTAAACGGAGCCCCCAGCTCCGGCTGTTTGCCTTGGCGAGCTGCTGCGAGCTCCCTAGAGCATGCACCCTGTTGCACCCTCTCCGAGCCCTGACACTCACAGACACAACACACCGGACCCACACCACCACTAAAGGAGGGGGGGAATGGAAGAGGGAGGCTAAGCCAATCAAAAACGACGTGAGTCTGAGAACGGGGGCAGGCTACAGAAAGATTCCCTCCTCCCCCCACCCCCAGCCGCGTGTTTGTGTTCTGCTGCCAGTGCAGCCCCTCAGAGTAACAGGTTAGGGGAGGGAAAAAGAGGGAATCATTGCCGGCCCCAAAGTAAAGTCCTGAGCTCGGACAATAAAAAACGGATTAAAGGGATGTACTAAAAGGAAGGACAGGATTGCCCATTGGAAACAATGGGAGACGCTGGAAGACCCATTGGAAATAATGGGAGCTAGGAATGCCAATTGACTTGCATGGGCTCCATTGGAAAACATTAGGGTACAAGTAGAGTTGCAATAAAAATGTGGAATGGATTTTCCATTAAGGTCTCTGGGCCCAAATACACTACTCTGGGGGTGGAATGAGAGACCACGGAGTGGAATGACAGCCCCAGGGTGGAGCAGGTGTGTTCAGGGACTGGGATGACAGGCCACGGAGTGGAGTGGAATGACAGTCCCAGGGTGTTCCAGAAAAATACAGTAACATGAGCCAGCTCTCCACCCCTTTTTAGCATGAGCCATAAAGCACAGGGACAGAGAGAGGAGCATGCCCCCCTCAGCTGGCTTGCCAGTCAGCAAACAGCCAGTGAGCCAGCTGTGGGGGATGCACTCCTTTATCTGCCTCCATTTCTTCTACTAGCAGGCAGAAAACATGGAGGTAGAGGGCAGTTTGCAGTCTGGCAAGCCAACCATCAAGGCACACTCTTTTCTTTGTCTCTGCACAGAGGCAGAAGGCAGCACCTACCAGCTGGCTCACTGGTCTGCCTTCTGGGCTGTCCTTATGTCTTTGTGGGGCATGCGCTCTCTCTCTCTCTCTCTCTCTCTCTCTCTCTCTCTCTCTCTCTCATATATATATATATATATCACCTCACTGGTGTGGGAAGGCTGTGAGCTAACAGAAAAGAATGCTGCCATGTATGTAAAATGACACACACACCCTTTTTTCTTTTTTCTTACAAAGCCAAAAAAGAAAAAAAGGCTGTCCTCTGTTATTTCATACTTGCATATTTGGATATGCACATTTCATAGCCTGATGTGCAAGCATAACCCAGACCTCTTAAATGTATTCAGGCTTCACTGTCATGTTCTGATTAATCTAAACTTAGCTGGGAAGCGGACTCTAGGTGAAATTTTTCAAAAGTTCAGTTTTTTGATCATTTTATCATAGTCTTAAATGTCTACCATCTTATACACAACTTTACTAATAACATATATAAAGAAACTAAACCATATGATGTGTGGAGAACTGATAGTTCAAAATAATATTTAGCTCTTTCCCAATTAAAGTATTGCTATTTGCCAATGATTGTCTTTTTATAATCTTCTGTACATTAACAGGTATTGAGTAAAATCTGTACAAAAGCAACTCCTGCACAACAATTTCTTGCTCTTTGCAAAAAGGAAAATGCTATCATAATAAATATTTTAAAAGGTTATAATTAGACACTGAAATAGAATTTCCATTGAATAAACATACCCCAGTATTGCCACATCCATCTTAAAAAGACCACCCTCAGACTGCATTACCAAGTCTGAAATATAATAGCCTAAGGCAGAAAATGTGTCCCATTTAGATGACATGGCATTAACTGTTGACATGTAGAATTGTTACAGAAATGAAATGTTTGATTTTTAATACTATGTGAAGTGTTCAGTGCAGGGGGGGGATACATCACTGAAAGTAGTGGATTTTAGCAACCTGAATGTGTTGAGGATTTAATTAAACATACACCTTAGGCTTCAAATAATATGGTTTAGATAGTTTCTCTTTTGTTTTGTCACTTTAATTATGTCCTCTTGGCAGCAGTTTAGATGTAAAGAAATGCTAAGATCCCAAATTGATCCTTCAATTTTAATAAAGTTAGGATTGGGACAGGAGAAGTGATTTTCAAGTGGATATTAATCTTCTGAGTAAGGCAACACAGAGTAATAATTTGTAGAACTGTGAGTAATAGAACATGAGGTAATAATTTGTAGAACATGAGTCTAATCTCATTTCTTGGAAGGCACAAATTGGCAAAGGGTGGACACTGCTCCGGGCAGGTCTCACCCAACTGATGATGGGAAGCTTGAGTGAAGGGGCAGAGCCCATGTGCCCAAGGACAGAGCTGAGGGGTCAGAAAATAGAACAAAGAGTCAAGGGACAGAGCCAACAGAAAATACTTATTCATCTAAGGTGATCATCCCCATCTCTCTCCCTCTCCCTCTCTCCCTCTGTCCCTCTCTCTAATAATAGCAGTAAGGAAAGTGACTATAGGCCACTCACACATTCTCAGCTTAACTTCCCTCACAACATTGTTGTGACAAAATGGAGGAGAGAAGAGTTCTGTAAGCTGCTTTGAGTTCCTATGGGGAGAGAGGGGAGTTTAAATGAAATAAATATCTCCAAATCAATGATAATTTTCACAATTAGAGAATGGTTGGTTAAAATCTGGAGATCTACCAAGATAGTGCAAGCGTGATAAGGGCTGAGAGAGATTTGAGTTTCCTTTCTTTAATTATTTTAAGCATAGTTATAATCTTGATATAAACAGATGTTTTAGGTTGAATCAATTATCTTTACCTCTGTATGGTATATTTTGAAAATGGTTAAAAAAATTATGCTCAAAAAGATCTGTCTTTAAAAAAAATCCAAATTCAGCTTTTTGAATAAATCCTAAAATATTAGTCTCTGGTAGGTCTGTTCTCACTAATGCTTACAAAAGTTTGTGTTTATTAATCAGTATTTATGATAAACTTTTTTATTTGAAGCTACCTAGTAGGACCATTTTCTTGTTTGGATTAGATTTGGTTTTCAGTTTAATAGCTTATTCATATCATTACTTTGTCACTGCAAACAACCTTTCTGATCTTGTTTTAAAAAGGGTCTTTAACTGTTGTGTCAAACATGATGAATGAATGGGAGCCCAGTTCAAAGGGTGTTTAAATTTTCACATTCTAATAGGCTTTATAGTTCAGTTCACATGGTAGATCCATACAACTTTTTATTTTAGCTGAGTAAACATTTTACAGGAATATATATACATTATCTCATCTAGTCTTATGCTGTACAGCATGTTAAAGTATATTTATATTTTGGACAAGACAGATAGCGGAAAGGAAGGGAAAGATGAAGGAAAATTCCCACTTCAAAGACTTGATGATACAAGTGCAAAAAAAAAGTACAGAAGTCAAATTTCTGGCAAGCTACTCGTGTAAAGTACAGTATACTGAACAGTTGCATACTGTAATATAATAATGTGTCTTGACAAGTGATGAAATCTAGTTTTCAAATTCAGGTAGTTCTGTATGGACTCTGGGTATTGGTTCAAACTCTGATAACCAAAACACCTAAATTAAGATTTAGAAGTTGGAATATAATTGGAGGCATAATTATATTGATCACCTAAAGCTGCCTTATACTGAGTTGGACTCTTGGTCCATCAAATTCTATTGCCTACTGTGACTGACAGCAGGTGTCCGGGGTCTGCAGTAAAGGTCTTCCTCATCATCTTTTTCTTGTTCTTTTTAACTGGAAAGGCTAGAGATTGACCCTAGGACCTTCTGCAAGTTAAGCAGATGTTCTACCACTGAGCCATGGCCCCATCCCATTGACTGATACCAAGCTGAATCATGAGGTTGAGAAATAAATATCTATCAACTAACTAGGAATAAAGTGAAGTCTTGTACTTCTCAAGAGTTCACATTACACAGAGCCATGGACATTCAGCAGTTCTGTAGTTAGCAGCTCTATCACTGAAAGTGGAGGGAAGAAGTAATGTGTATTTATCTTGGTAAAAGCTGATGAACAACTGACAGGAAATGTTTGCTTTTTAAAATTCTTCAGTGGTTGATCTGAACCTTCTGAAGGAAGAAGTGCGAATGTATAGCTGTACTCCACGCAACTTTTCGGTGTCGCTACGGGAAGAGTTGAAGAGAACAGACACCATCTTTTGGCCTCTTTGTCTGCTGGTTAAACGTTGTGGTGGAAATTGTGCCTGCTGTCAGCATTCTTGTAGTGAGTGCCAGTGTATCCCCACCAAGGTCACCAAAAAATACCATGAGGTATAGTGCTCTCCCCCCCTTTACATACATACATTGTAATAAAGACACAAAAACTTATGAACCGTTACTAGGTCAGCTGCGTTTGTCTGTTGAAGCAAAAATGTGAGTGAGATCTGGATGTGACATCTGTCATCCCATTGATTGCCGGGGTTGATTCAGCTGATCTGGTTGACTAGGTGGGTGTGCCCTCCCTCCCTCACCACTCCATATGCATTCCTCTCAAAGCTGCACTCGGTGGAAGAGGATGACCATCCCAGATAGAAGGAGTGTACCATTCTTTGGTCAAGGGTATATGGTAGCTGCAAAAATAAACAGAAGCCTGTCAGCACCTTAAAGACTAGAAACATTTCATTCCAGTATAAGCTTTTGTGGACTGGAACCCACTTCTTCAGATTCAGTGAGATAGCATCTAAAGAATGAAGCCCTGAGAGTTTATATTAGAATAATTTTTGCATCCTGAATGTTTATGTTATAATAAATTTTATATTCTGTTATACACAAGTGTTGTGTATAAGGTTTTACATAAGTGGAGTGATTGGGCCATAGTAAAATTACTTCATGGAATTGCAGAGGCCTGGAGAAGGCTCCAGCTTTAGTTGAATGATCATAATACCTCTCGATATTACAGAAGACTTTCTTGAACTGTTCTCTTTCAGGTTCTACAGCTGAAGCCCAGGAGCGGTGTACGAGGACTGCATAAATCTCTGACAGATGTACCTTTGGAACATCATGAGGAATGTGAATGTGTTTGTAAAGGAAATGCAGAAGGATAAAGGGAACTAGATGTGCTTGTTTATTTTACAGAGCATTCAAACCGTGGCTGATTCTGTTCTGGGGCTTGTGCATTAATTTCCTTCTATAATCTCAGTTGTTTTCTTTGAAAATCGTCACGACTGACAGCTCTGGGAGAGAAAAAAAAGACAAAATTGAACTGGAGTTACATATGTAATGTAAAAGCTCTGTTGCTTGAAGGCCCCCTATAAGGATGAGCAGAAGGCACCAATGAGGAAGATTTTTCCTCCAAACATATATGTATCTCATCTCTTTCATTCATCTTGAATTTAAAAGGATTAAAGTTTAAGAGCATAGGAAAAGACAGACAAAGACTGCACTCTGGCCATCTTGCTTCTACAGGTCTGTTACTTCTGGCTTACAGTTTGGAACATCTGGAATCTCTCAAGTCTACTCAGCAACTCCTGTGTATTCTAAATCAAAGTGTTAATTGTTTTACAGACTGGCTTATTCTGAATTAAGCTTAATTTTTCATTGATATAAGTAGAAAAGACTGGACACTTTGTCATGGTTTCCAGTAAAAATACTTAGTGAAGTTGAACAGTCAAGGTATGTGAGAAAAAAAGGAAAAGATGGAAACAGGGAGTGGCTTTATTCCTCTCTCTATGGCCTGCAAGTATTTTTGTTTATATTTTTATTGTGTACATTTTTATACTCTTTTTGGCAGCATAATTATTTGCTTTTCTAATCTTGTGAAATATCTATTTTTTACCAAAGGTATTTAATATTCTTTTTTACTACAGCCTAGATAAATGACTGCTAGTTTTGTAAGACATTGGAGTGAGAGATATAGAGAGGAGGAAACAAGATAAAATCACTGTTTCAGCAAGGAAAGGAGCTAAATAGTGTACATGACACATAGAACAGGTAAAAAAATATCATGCTGAATTTAAAGTTGTGTGCAAATTAGCCTCTGTGGTGTTGATGATTAATGTAAACATAAATAGCTATCGGAAGCTTGTTCTTTGTATATTAGCATCCCGATCCAGAAAAGAAGATCTGTGGGCAGAAGAAGGCTTCCACAAACGTATTCATTGTTGAATTAGGGACCACAGGCACAAATCGGATGTGCGTTGAAGTATCTTCCTTTCAGTGGGATGCACATTGAATGTGCTTCCTCGTAAACATTTTGACACATCTAATCATGCATAAATACCCTTACAACATGCAACTAATGTTGGATAGGGGTATGTTTTTAAAATACAAAAAAGAAGAGGACTGTCTTGTAGTCTGATCCTAAACATGTTTATTCAGAATTAAGTCCAATTGGGTACAGTGGGACTTACTTCCTAGCAAATATGTTTCAGGTTACAGTCTTAATTGTTACATTAACAAGAGACATCTCTTGATGAGACTGTCATCACTGCTGACATTTCAGTGTCATCTTGCCTCCATAATATATAAGGTATTCATGAAAAAGACGCACATATTTATTGATTCAGGTGTAAGGGTTTTTTATATCAATGTTGATAGTTATTTTCTCTTAAGAACAATGGTCTTCCAATATTTTAATGATGTATAGTGCATTTTTATGAAATGTGGTTTTGCTTATGTACAGTCTATATGTAAGCCAGTACATTTATCCACCCTTTGCCAAGAGGGAAAAAGCAGTAAAATATTTTGCTTGTACAATGCTTTAACTTTGTCAAGTGTGCTTTCTGTGTTTCCCTTTACTCGTTTCGATTTATGTACTGTAATACTGAAATACTTGTATGTTTTCCCAACACTCAAATAAATCTGTGGGGCTGTTTCAGATTGGTATCATGGTGCATACTGCTAAAAGCTCCCACCCACATATTGCACCACAGTATTCGTCCAATTCAGAACTCTCTGTGCCTGCCAGCTTAAAAAAAATAAAACCTTTTGGAGCTCTATTGATAGAACTCCACGTATCACGTCTGATTTGACCCTCCATAGACTTCCAGGTATATAGGTATGCCGCAGAAAAATCAGTGTTCTGAATTTCTGTATGATGGTGGTTACAAGAGAAAAATGGATCTCAGATTAGCCTTATAGGAATGAAATATAGCATGGGTCTTTTCTTCCAACACCTCATTCTCTGACATAGGACAATTCTAACAGCCACATACAGAACAGATAAAAGAGGTGATTTGGGTGAAATAAAGCATCTCTCCACTTGAATGGTCTGTTGGTAGACTTCAAGATTCTTATAGTAGATTACTCATTTGAGATTAGTAATTGCTTGTGTACAAATGGTTCAATGAACTTTTATGAATCACTGCTGTCATTACTATAATTATGGTAGCTATATTTCTGCTTTTTATATTTTCGTGCACCATGCTTAAAATTTTCAAAAAGCAGGTGCATGAGTTGCAAAACTTCTCTTACAACAATTCTTAAATCATCTTATGTTGTCTTTGTCCACTACTGCATTCACACAAATAACAAGTATGGCGGTATACTTTCTAACGTTCTTACTGTTTAAATACCTTAAGTATTTTAAGCATTTAAAAGTATTTTCAGTTGTGCGAGAAAAGTCTTATTATGATTAACTTGGCTTTAAGCAGTTTCCTATGAAAGTAGTTATTTACATATGAGATACGTAAATGCTATGAAATATGCTAAGAATTTTATAGGACATGCATTCAGAAAATAGCTTCTGTACACTTCTGCTTTCCAAATAAGCCCTAGTGGGTTGCTTTCTGCAATGTGAATTTCCAAATAAGCCCTAGTTGGTTGCTTTCTGCAATGGGATTGAGAAACCTAACTATAAATAGTTTGGACTGCAGAAGTCTTCATTCCCAAGCCATGTGCTAGGGAAAGTGCAGGAAGGGATGGAAGCAGATGAACTCAGGGACTCTTGGGACTTGTTCCCATAACGACAAACCATGATTTGTTGTTACGTCTACATATATCTTAATGCTCTTCTGATCACTTCCAAAAGACATTAACTGATTTTAAAAACAACAACAATGGTTTAAAGGATTACAGCCAAGAGTGCAGTTCAAAATCACTAAAGTTATATTAAGATAAATGGTGCTGCGATTCCACTTCACATTTTCCAAGAAAAAAAAAACACTAATGTTAAGAAACTGTAATCTGTGATACATTTTTATCAGCTGAGGAGCAACTGTGTCATTTCAAGTGATTTATCAGTTCTTCAGTCTATCATGCTACTTTTGAAAAGATTTTGTCTGCAACCTTGGGGATTTAAACCAAAATATTTCCCTGCAATATTAGTGAAATATTTCTGCAATGTAGGCTTTGTATTATGCACATAACATCCCAGTTTATATGCACCATCCTTTTGGTAAAGGTCTACCGGTTGGGCTGGTAGTTTCCTTTAAGAATAAGCCATCATTTAAAAGGTGAGAATTCCAAAATCATTTAGATGAATCTAAAAAATATTAATCTGTGTCCCAAAACTGAGAAGGCCTAGTCACCTTTCCACTTTGTTTCAGAAATGTCCAAAAAAGAAAATAAGTTATCTTTCTTATAGTGGACCTGAATTTTATTAATAAAACATACTGGTTATTTCCATCATCCATATTTTCCATAAAAACATGGTAATTTAAAACTTATTCTACTTTTTAACCTAGCAGTTAAAAAAAAAAAAAAAGATAGCCACGGTTTGACAAAATCTACCTGGTAGGGCCAGGTAACACTAGAGTAGCTGGGTTTTTTACATCATGATACCTAAATTCATTTATTTAAAATACCTAAAAATCAACTGTAACCAATATGAAATAGAACTCATAAAATCTATAAGTGAATAGTTGGAAGACAAGCAGTAGTTATTGCTTTGATCAATATTACTGCACATTATTCTCACTTGAATGTTCTTTTTCCAGTGATTCTGCACCATAATAGCATGAAATATTTCTGCTTTCACAAGGTAAAGCATTATTCATTTTTTGTGCCTTAAGAAAAAAAAGTATTTGAAGATTCAATTGCCTTGTAATGTTTGGGATCTAATAGCCAGTAAAGGGTTTTTCTTCAATTCCATATTCTTGTGATGTTTGTATCTGCTTTGTTAATCATTACTCCAGAGTTAAAACTTAAAGATAAGAATGTGAGATTGTGTATGCTACATCATAGCAAAGGACCTGTGCCTAGAAAAATAATCCCATGTGAAATCACACCTTTATTTTTCAACCTGGCTCAGGTTTCTCGGATGAATGATAGCCTTTGAACTGTTGCCAGATAGCTTCCCATGGAAAATAAGAACATGGAGAACAAAGGGAATTTAGGGTGCAAATCCAGAACCTTTCTGTTTATTTCAGATAGTTTGTATCTTGGTTCAGAAAAAAATTGAATGAAATCCTAAACAGAGAAAATGCTAATATTTTGAAAAATTAGGTATCAACCTAATTTGTAGTAGTTGCCAGCAAATGTGTTTACATAAAGAATATTTCCTAGAATCATTTTATGTATGATGGGCTATTTGAACATTATCAACTTCTGATTAAGGTCACTGTTAAACTCCAGAAGATTTAATTAATGTTGCAACATAACAGCCCAATCATGAGGGCCGCTGCAGCAGTGACAATCAGCCACTGACACAAAAGCCACACTGCTGGTACCTCCCTTACACCCGCCTTGGGTCTTTTGCACTGCCAAGCTTGTATGGCTTATCAGATGCCAGCAGTACTGTGGGGAGACCACCCTCATGCCTTCCTTGGCCTGTGTGTAGCTACACATACCCTCAGACAGCCCACCAGCCTCTTCCCTGTGCTAGCTGCATATAGCAGCCAGTAGGATGTGTGTGTGGGAAGGGAAGGGAAGGGACTGGGGACCAGTATGTGGGGTCAGCCTTCAAGGTGCCACTGGACCTCTGCTATGTTTTGCAGCTGAACAAAACAGAAGTCAAATGGCATGAAAAACAGCAGCAACAGACCCCAGCATGGGTATCCCTGAGTCAAAGTCTCAGGTATGCGAAGGGACAGCCTGAAGGGGAAGTCACAGATGGGGGCAAGCGGTAGGACAGGAAGGGGCATAGAGCTAGTCTCATCCATTCACAGACAGACAGGGACATATTTGTCGAATGCCCCAGACTTTAAAGGTAAAGGTTCCCTTGCTCGAAAGCCAGTCGAATCCGACTCTAGGGTTGCGGTGCTCATCTCCGTTTCAAAGCCAAAGAGCCAGCGCTGTCTGAAGACGTTTCCGTGGTCATGTGGCCAGCATGACTAAACACCAAGGCACACGGAACGCTGTTACCTTCCCACCAAAGTGTTACCTATTTATCTACTTGCAATTTCTTGCTTTCGAACTGCTAGGTTGGCAGGAGCTGGAACTAGAGATGGGAGCTCACTCCATCATGCGGCACCCGGGTCTCGAACTGCTGAACTACTGACCTTCCACAGCCTGCAGTTCAGCGTCTTAACCACTTGAGCCACCGCAGCCCCAGACTTTACTGAACGGCAAATCATGATGATATTTGATGAATGGGGTTGCCACTTCCTCTGTCCAATATGGCACCTGTTCCTCTGTAAGGAATTGTCCCAATGTGCATGTGAGTGAGGCAGACATGATGGACTGGAACAGCGGGTGACTGAGCAGAATGGCAGGAACTGCAGCAGCCATTCTCCCAGGAGTCCCTTGTTGAAAAAGAAACATTAGAAAAGAGCAAGAGTCCAGTAACTTAAAGACTAAGAAAATATGTGGCAGGGTATGAGCTTTCATGAGTCACTGCTCACTTCTTTGGATACCTGAAGTATCTAAATAAGTGAGCAGTGACCCACAAAAGCTCATACCCTGCCACATATTTTCTTAGTCTTTAAGGTGCTGCTGAACTCTTGCTCTTTTCTACTGCTACAGACAGACTAACACAGCTACCCATCTGTATATCTAATTCTCAACAGTCCCCTCTGCGTGAGAATACTTATTTCTGCAGATGGGGGCATACTGTCCCCCAACAGGTTTTTCTATGGACTCAGGACTCCTTTGGTTGCAGAAAAATCCAAAAAGCTTTTTAAAAATCTCAGGGAGGGTTAATTTCCAAGCCCTAATGCATGGACAGTAAGAGGAGAGACAGACAGAGAGGGCAGGAAGCAAAAGCAGGACTGGATCTGGAACTGGGGGAGGGGGCAGGGCACTTCCCAGGCCTATTTTGGAGCCAGGCCTGGGACTCCAGGTTGGGAAATTCCTGGCGATTCTGTGGTGAACTCTGAGGAGTGCAGAGTTTGGAGAGGGGGGAGGCCTCTGCTGAATATAATGCCACAGAGGCCACCCATTTTCTCCAGGGGGACAGATCTATGTTTTCTGGAGTTTGTCATTCTCCAGGTCCCACCTGGAAACTGACAAACCTAGGCCTAGCAGCACCCTCTGGGTGACTTGCTACCCCTCACTTGCATGATTCAGCTAGGCCTGGCTGCTTGCTACTGTTCAACAGCTGCCACCCTATGCAAGTCAGTGTAGTATAATGGTCAGAGCTTCAGAGTAGGGTTTGTGAGACCCAGGTTTAGATCCCCGTCTTGCTGTGGAATCTCACTGGGTGATTTTTTTTTTTTAAATCCCCAGAGGGATATTTTTATTTTTGCAATACACTACAGACTACAAAGAAAGTATGAAGGAAGGGAACTACATTTGGGGACAAAGAAAAGGTAACCACACTATATTAAAACCCCAAGAGGAGGAGATCTTATCCCTGTTAGTGAA